TCACGTAATACTTAACCACCAGGCACCCTGATCATTTAATTCAGGATGAATGAAAATAATTGTTCGCTTCTTTGGGGACACCTTTAGGGACACCTCATTTCTTTAGGTAACAGACCCTGTAACCAAGGCCATCAGAAGTGGGCTTGGAAGCCCCAAGGAAGAAATGGGGAGATTGGCAGAGCCTCCCACTCCAATCATCTGCACCTTCCCTGAAGAGAGTAGGCCAGGCTGTCCGTAGACCAGCACGACCTCAGACCTCAGCTCCCCCTCGTCTTTCCATCTCAAAGCCAGCGAGACTCATTACTGATGTGCTTTGTCCAACCCCTCAGCTCAGAGATGTTCTAAAAGATCCAGTCAACTGTAGGGCAGCTGAGATTTGGCCCTTTTGAAGGCTCTCCCAGGACGTACTTGGATAATGTGAGTTCTGCATTCCAAAAGTTAAAATTTTGTAAGTCCTGGGGATCTTGTGTACAGCAGGGTGACTACAGTTAATAACACTGTGTTGCATATTTGGAAGTCGTTAAGAGAATAAATCTTAAAAGTTCTCATCACAAGAAAAAAAATCTGTAATTATGTGTGGCAACAGATGTTCGTTAGCCTTACTGGGGCGATCACTTCGCAACATACACGAATATCGAATCCTTATGCTCTATACCTGAAACTAAAATGATGTCCCATGTCAGTTATACCTTGATATAAAAAAGGTAACTCTCTGTGGGTTCCATGACGAGTAGGAGCTCAAGGAACCCAAAGGGCAGATAATAATGTAGTAAAAGTTGTCGGACCTGAAAACGAACTTACAATGTTTTATACAGAAGCTTCAGCTTTCAAATTACACGTTTATCTAGGCAAACACATAAATCTTCTCCTGGTCCCAAGCATCCGATGGGGAATGGATGTGACTACATGCCTTTAGGGTGACAGTGAGCCCCTTACTCCACACAAAAAGCAGGCATCCTGAATACATCACCAAGCTGGATGTTTCAGGGATAAACCCCGCTGTCTGACTGGCGAGACTGAGATCAACCCAGCTTGAGTGAGTAACCCACCGGAAAACAGAAGATGTTTGTTTGGAGTATGAACATGGGGGAACTCTTGTCTTCTCTTTCCATCACTTTCCATCAGTGGGTTCTCTGTATCAGTCAAGGGAGTCAATGCCCAGCCTGAGCCAGTGGAAATTCTTTGTTGGCACCATCTACAGCTCCCCTTGGTGTGGGCAGGCTTGCCCTACTGTGTGTGCAGACTCATGTTCCCATTATTTTATACGAGAACACAACGCTAACCCCCTGACCAGCTCTCGGGTCACCCTGAGTAAACTGCCCCCAGATCTCACACGGAGCCAAAGGGGAAAATGAGAGCCTCTTGAGGAAAGGTCGGTTTAACATAAAATTAAAAATGCCTTTGGAGACCCAGACGTACAGCAATACTTCAAGGTGTGGCCAGGGAAGGAGGGGAATCATCTGGGCAGACTGCTAGGATAATGGAGCTCGTGAGTAGTATGTTAATAAGAGGGAGAAAGTTTCCTAAAGTCATCCAGTAACACAGCCCTGGCCTCACCTGCCAGGCTGATAGGTATCAGCGTCTCGGTGTAACCGAAGGCAGAACCACCCGGATTCCAAACGCCCAACACAACTGCCAGGGGTGCCACGTGTGCATCCAAGCGCTTCGCTGAATTCCGTCTAGAATTGTCTCTCCTCTGAAGTCCAGCCAAAGAGAAAACCTGTTTCCAGACGAAGCGGGGCTTTTAGAAACTAGGTGACTATTCCCAAGGAGACACTGAGGACATTTGCCTGCGTGCAAAATAAATCGTGATCGAGAGGAATCAAGTGCGGACCCATCTGCAGCTCATTAATATGATCTGTTGAAAAGGAGGCTAGATTCACCAAGTCAATCCGAAAATCTAAAAATAACACTAATGTGAGCCCGGCCCAGTGAATGCAGGGCAATAAAAAGATGTCTACATCTGCTAGCGCCAGAGTCCCTGGACGCTCCCTCGCTCTTTACTACTCATCCTCGGTGGTAATTGGGAAGGGAGGCATTTATCTGCTTTCCAGAAAAAGCAAAAAACATTCCATGAGGATCTCTGTGGCCAAAAATATCATTCTGTGCTGATGCAGGAGGATAAACAGACGCTGTCTTCCCATCGAGTAAATCCTACATGTTTCAAAGATCGCAGAAGGATCTTCTCTTAAATCGTTCGAAGGGAGACATCTCCCTTGGAGAGATGTGGGGGTCACTTGGGCGGCAATTGTCAAAGCACCGTGTGGGCACTGATCACGGGAGGTACACAGATGAGCAATTTTTTAAAGAGTTGATTTATCATCATGCGTTTATGCAAAATAAGATAACAGAACACACCCAACCCATGACTCCAAGACGTTGCTTGGGAATTAAGACAGACCTAAAACAGATTGTAAGTCAAAAAGTGCAATTGTTCAAATATATAAATGCTAAATAAATTGGTACAGGGGGTCCGCCAAGACGGGAAAAAGGAAATCAGAAGGCACAAGAACCCAAGAAAATTGGAAAACGCTGTTCTAGGCCGAAGCCAGATGGGTTCCCATGGCGTGGACAAGTGACATGGTTCACAGTCATTTTCACAGCCTCACTGAACACAGAACCACCAAGATCTCCAAATGCCCAGGGACCTTATCGCCGGTCTGGGACCTCGGTAAGGTTCCGAGAACCACTTGGTTTCCTCACTACCTGAAGAAGTTTTAATCCAAATGAACAGGGTGACAGAAGAGGATTCCTTTTGTGATCTACCATCTCCGAGCCCAAATCTCTGACAGTTGAACCAAGTGTGCCCAATGCCCTGGAGGGGACAACAAAGACCACTTTGCTCTTTTGAGCTAGCCTGAGGGTACAGGTACAGGGAAGGAGTTCCTGCAGACTTCTGACAGTTTCTTCCACCTCCTCATGACCTCATCCCTGAGAGAACAAGCAAGAGCTTTTGAACCACACTTGTTCATGCCCTGGGCTGTTGCGGGATGCCCTGGTAGGAGGCAGGTGGACCATAGCAGCACCTGTATGGGATTGTGGTTTCAGAGGGAACCTGCACTTTGCTGGGGCGGTCAGCTTGGGGAGTTAGCCATCAACTCACATGGAGGAAAGAAGAGTCTGATGTCTTTTTACTTCCCAATAAAGCTCTGGTCTGTGGCTCGTGCCATGACGGAATAGTGTGGCAGTTAAAAGCAGTGAGCTAGAGCAGACATGAAAACAGAGAAAAAAAGAAGGAGTTGCAGAATAACATTTTAGCATGATTTGCTTTTGTGTAAAAAGAGAGGATTTCAGTAGGTTTGCATATAACACAGGGTATTTCTGGAAGGATTTACTGAAAGTGTTAACGATGGTTGCTTATCCAAGTGGTAGGAGAGGGGGCACCACGTGTGGGAAACAGACTTTTCAGCTCCATTCTATAGCTATCTGTGTGTTGGCAATTTTTGCAGTGATCTGTGTGCTTTGATAACAAAAGCCTTTTGAGAGATAGCAAACAATGGGAAAATGTTCCAAAGCTTACATCGATGCCCCAGGAATATCAGTCCATGGGACGTATGGTGGAGTGAGCCGTTCGCTTACATTTACAAAATAATCACCATGCATAATACATATTACCGAGTAAGCATTATGACATAGACTCACATTTACCTAATAATCACGATCTGGAATGCGTACTGCATAACCATCTTATGGATGGAACCTCTTCGTGCAGAAGAACAGGATGGACAGGGAGCCCTTGCAGTAGCTGGGGTGCTCATGAGCCTGGACCCCCCTCCCTCTATGGCTCTGGCCAATGAAACAGCCCCTCCCCTGCTGGCTGTAGTCGCAGGAGTGCCTGGTCCACGTCAGGCACAACCTTAGCCACATCACACGTGTGAGCTCTCATCCTCACAGTGACTCTCGGACATAGGCTCAATTTTTATTTACGTATAAGGAAATCAAAGCTTTAGAAGTTTACCCCATGATCATGACCGAGAAACTAACTGTTCATCACCACACACGCCCTCCTGGCCACAGCACAAAGTTCTCACTGGGATTACATTTCTCTGCCCTCCACTCAGTGAAATGTGGGTGTCACTTCAGGCTAACATAAGCCGCACTTTCTCTCACCTTCCACACAGAGCTCTCCAAGGTCCTAGGGGACAGCAGAGCCACAAGCTGGAAGGAGCCTGGGTTGCTGCATCACCACCTGAGGATGGTCAGTCCCGGATCCGAACGGGATGCAGACATCAGTGTGAAGGCTCTGAAGCTGGAAGGCTTCTTTGTTATGGCTGCTACTGTTACCCTGTATAACGCAGCAAGTGAAAGGAGTGCCAAAATGCTGGTAGATTTCAGAGACGAGATCCCAAGGCCATTCGCCTTCCGAGCACCCTCCCACCGTGCTGAAATACTCCCAAGCCACACTACGTACCCACTCGGCTCCTCTGTGGCCTCCACCAGCCACCTGCCAAAGGGGGGCCCCTGGGACCAGAGCTGAGTGGAGACCAGCATGGTCGGTGCAAGTAGCACCCCAGCCACGCAGCCCCACTCAGCTACCTTTCTCTGCACCGAAGATGATTGGAGGGTGGAGATGCCCTCCCCCAGACGGACTGCTATGGCCAGCGGTTCCTCCATGGCGCCATCAGGAATCACTACGCCAGGGAAGGCTCTGCTCCCAGCTTCACCTCCCATCACCTGCCTCCGCCCCTGCTCTGCCTTGGCAGACACACGAAGCACCGCGCTTCCCGCCACTGCACCTCCGGGAGGCTGTGGGGCCTGGCCAGCGACCGCCTTCTTGTCGACCCCCTTCCCACACTGACCAATGCCCCTAACCCTTGTCTAGTCACAGATGAAGGGACGTGATGAGGTCCCGAGACTGTCTAGTCCAAAAGGGACTGGGGATGTGGGGGTCAGGATCGGAGCTCCAAAAATCTTTTCTATTTTGGAATCATCCCTGGCATGACCAGTGGCCCAGAAAGGTCTGTTGCGCAGTGAGGGGCCCTCTTGCTGAGCTGTGGGGAACTGAAAAGCCATCATCTTTGAGGACCACGGAATGTTGCTCCAATGATAGGTGTCATCTTTGGCTTCCTTGTCCAGACATGGTCTCTGCAAGTGAAAAAGGGGTGTGTAGTGATAACCACACACATAAGGGGAAAGAAGCAAGGAGAAAAAAGGTGAGGGTTCCCGGATTACATTCGGGGGCACCCTGAGAGGAAGCCTCCACCCTTGTTCTGTTCATTAGCCCCTGCTCTGGTGGACCACACGGCGTCCCAGCACCCTCTCTAAGAGAGCGGTTGTGCTGGCAATGGACTTCACATCTGTGTGAGGCCCTGGAGGGGTCAGAGAGAGCCACATCACCTCCCACTGCATGACTTCCATGAAGACAGCATGGCTGGCTGGTGGTCAAAAAACAGAAGTGAGGCCCAAGCCTGGGAGACATAGGAGGAACTGCCGGGTCAAAACCAATCAGAGTCCACTGGGGAATGAAAACAACCAACAATGTACTGCTGTGGTCAGCCTATAGAGAGGCTCTTTTCTAATATTTTCCAAGACCTCAGCTTGTTGGGGGTTTTGTTTGTTTTTTTGTTTTTTGTTTTTTTTTTATGAAATCCTAGGCAAGAAAATGTTACACAGCAGCCCTGTTACAGCAATGTCTTCACAAACGTTACCTCACATCCTCAGTGGTGAGATTAGCATTTAACCATAGTAGAGAATCAATAGACACAGATATCCTGAAAATTCAAGTAGTTAATTTCCTCTTTCAATGCTAAGGGTTTCAGTGATACATCCAGATGACTCTCTGACACTTGTTAAGAAGAAAGGTAATCAGTGATGTTATTTTAGGAGAAAACAACTAATTAGTTTTCTTTTTAAAAAGAGGAAAAACTGGGGTGCCTGGGTGGCTCGGTGGGTTAATGATCTCAGGGTCCTGGGATCAAGCCCCTCATCGAGCTCCTTGCTCAGTGGGGAGCCTGCTTCCCCCTCTCTCTCTGCCTGCCTCTCTGCCTACTTGTGATCTCTGTCTCTGTTAAATAAATAAATAAAATCTAAAAAAAAAAACCACACATCTTTTTCCCACTCTAATTTCTTAAAGACCTAAAATAGTTGGGAATAGTTCTTGATTAAGTAGCTAGCACGAGTGCATTGATCCATGGTATCATTTTCTGGTTTCTAGCAACATGCTTGTCGGTATGCTCATCCACTCACTGTCCTGACAATAGATGTTTCCTCCAGTTGTAGGAGATATTCACCCTTTGATCCAGACCCTCCTGCAGGCACTGAGGATCCTGGAGTGATCAGATTAGCCCCGAGGAGTTTATATTCTGATGGAATAGAGAGATGAGCAGGAAGAAGCCGCCATGTTGACACCGACTCAGCTGACCACACTTGCTGTAAGGTATAACATTTCAGCTGTGTATCCAAGGGCCCCAGAAATGCAGCGGGAAACTTGGAGCAGCCCTCCTCATGACTTCAGGCCTTTCCCCAACTCCAGTGAGACAAGCCAACATGTTTCAGCTCCTAACGCAGGGCAGATCTCAAATATAACATGTGACTCAAAGCAGTCGGTGAGATATTGCCCCTTTGGCGAGTGTCTGATTGGTTCCAGAGGAAAGATTTTAGACAGCCCGGCTCAGAGCACATGTCTGGAGGGGAGTCCTTGGGGCCCCGGTTTCTGGCAGGCATCTGGACTGAGGGACTAGCAGGGCTCTCTACGTGCTCACGTGTGAAGTCCTGTGAGACACACAGCCTGCGGAAGCCAGCAGGGCTTTCCAAGGGGCCAATTCACTGTCCACCTGCAAGCTGCTAACCTCACTCCTCCAGGCCCTGATGAGGGAGGCTGGGACATGATTCCAAGGAGTGGTAGCCTCTTAAAGCTATAATCCTGTCAATCGACTTGAATGAACCAATATTACAACAATGGAATCTTCAAGAAAAGATACAAACATGGCCGTGCTGTCATAGAGCTGGACCCATTAAGGAACGTTGACCGTCTTCCTCTGGGCCAAGCCAAGTGGTGAGTCAGTCAGGGACAGGCCGGACATGTGCCTTTCAGTAAGTCGTATTTCCTTGGATTAAAAAGGTAATGGAGAAGCCAGACACAAAACGACAAAGTAGGATTCCACTTACATGAGATCCCTAGAGGAGTCGAATTCAGAGATGGAAAGTAGCATGGTGGCTGCCGGGAGCTGGGGCAGGGGAAAGGGGGAGCTCGTGTTGAATAAAGACAGAGTTTCAGTTTGGGAAGATGTAAAGGTCCTGGAGATGGATGGATAGGGGTGATTCTGGCACAGCAGTGTGAACAGATTTAATGTCGCTAAAAAATGGTTAAGAAGGTAAATTTATGTTAGGTAGGCTTTATCACAATTAAAAAAAAAGTGATGGGACTACTTGTTCTGATTCTTTAATTAGATCATTTGAAGATTAATTGTGTTCTGTTTAGCATTTTCCTTCTATATATGTGCTGGCCTTTCCACGAGGCATTAGATAGAGATTCTTAAGGACAGGAACTATTTATCATTTATCGTGGGAGCCCACAGCACCAGTACGAAGCCCTAATACATAATGCTGGATAAATGTTATTTGAAAGAAAAAAAAAAAAAGAATGAATGCATGACCCAGCGTTCATTCATCCACAAAGGCCATGCCCCTGCACCCTGTTTTTTCCTAAAAGCATGTTTGCAGCAGAATAACAACAAAAACAGGGACGTGATTGCATTGCAGTCAGAGTAATGAAGACTTTCAATCCAAAAAAACACCAACGTTAAGTACACATCTGTGGTCACATTGAAAGCTTCTTGTCTTCATTTTCCACAAAGCCTTCCTCACTCCACTCTAAGAAGAGGAAAGACTGATGAATGAATGAATAAATGAATGAATAAATGAATGGCTTCCCTTCCCAGTCCACAGAGCTAGACTGTCCCCAACCAGATATCAGCAGCTTCGATGCAGAGAGCCTTCCTGATCCCTGGAGAGGTAAAGGAACCACCCAAAGCTGGGCCGGCGACAACGTCCCTTTCCGGGGCAGCTCCTTCCCCTGGGTGAGACAGGAAGTGATCACCAGCTGCCCTCCCGCTGACTCAGCCATGAAACCTTTACAGTAATCTGACTTCACGGCTCTGGTGCTTCCCTGGGCAAAGACTTTCTCATTTTCTGGTAAAGTGGATCTCTGAGGCGCGGGAAACTCAACAGCAAAAAGAACAGAACAGCAGAAAGAGACACTTGCATTATTCAAAGCCGGGGAGCGGGTGTGGCACAGGGGAACTGAAATGCTTTTTTCCTCAGTTTGCTTTCAATGCTGAGCAACCATCCCGGTGTCCTCAAATTCCTAAGATTTTTTTTTTTTTAAACATCTCACATTTTGGTACTAAAAAAATCCAACCATTTGCGCACTCCAGTCATTTTTAGCAAAGAGTACATTTGTTGTTTTCTCTGCAGAACAAAACCCAAACCTCATCTAAATTAAAAGCTTTGCACAAAAATAAGGGGGGGATCTTCTGGTTAGTGCTGCAGAATTGCCTTGAGCTTGGCCAGGCTTCCTGGCCCGCTGAACCATTTTTTGGTGGCATTAAGTGCATTCACCGTGTTGTGCAACCCTCCACCACCACCCATCGCTAACAACTAGGGAGATCTCAAAATATGTAATCATAGTGAGAAAGCTTTTTCTGGGCTCAGAAATTCAGAATGACAGAAACTATCATTTGTGGCATTATCATGGAGGAGAATCTGAAAAACCTCCGGCCACAAAATACCTAGATATGCCATACAAAAATAACAAACACGGTTTTAAAAGCACAGCTGAGATCAGTAAAGGAAATCCCTGAGGCCAAAGCCGGCTGAACACCGGGGCAAGGTGCTGACGCTTTGGCTGCCGGTCGCAGCAGGAGCTCTGGCAAGGAAAAGAAGTCACCTTGAGTCTCATAACCTCAGGCCACACTTCACACAGCCTTGGGGTTTAAGCTGACACATCTGCACCGTCTGGGAACTCCCAGCCTACTAAATAACATAGAGAGAGTCCCCATCTAATCATATCACACGGCACCTGCTGGAGCAAATAGCCAACTTCTCTGTGGCAACCAATCCCCGACCTCAACCACCCAAGATCCCCTCTGTGAGCATTCTTTGAGAAGCTCACAATCAAAAACTACAAAAATGCTTCAAGGGACACGAGCACGAAGGACCGGGGTCAACGGACACAACAGGCAGCACAGATCATGAACCTCGGGAACCCCAAGAAGACCGGGTAATGAAACTATCGGAAGAGGCTAAAAAATTATGGTTACAATAATTTAAAAATGTAAAAGGGAGGATCAAAATTATGAGTAAATAATCAGACTCTGCTTTAAAAAATAAAAAAAGACCAGACATATTTGAAAAAGGACCAAATATAACTTCTAGAAATGAAATGTAGGTCATCAAAACCAGAAACTTAATGAGTGGGTTTCATGGTCAGTTTAGACAGCTAAAGAGAGAATTGTGGCCCGGGAAATGGTGTGGAAGGAGATCACCTGGAGGACAACACAGAAAGTCAAAGAGAATCTCAAAAATGAAAGAAAAGTTAAAGACACAGAAGATAAATGAAGCTTCAGCAGGCACCGCATAGGCGCTCTGGAAAGAAAGACACTAAGAGGCAATATTTTAAAGGTCAGGGCGGAGGATGTTCTAGGAGAGGATTCAGGAAGCAAAATTGGTTTGAAACAAGATGCACAAAATTAGATCCATTGTAAGGAAAAGCTGCCAAAGGGAGAAACCCAGGGTGGGGGGCAGCCTGATGGTAGACTTTCAGTAGCAGCAATATAGAAGCCAGGAGTCGGTGGAAACTTCTCAAAGCACCAAGAGATGATCCTACTCTGTTTACAAACTCAAAATAGCAAAGGAGCAAACTAAGGCTAAGTCATAGATCATGCTTAGGGTTCGTCATCAAGTTACTTCTGTAGGAATGACCGACTTCGTCGGGGAGATGATCTGTACAGTTGCACAGGATCCCCACTCTTGGCCCGAGGCTCTGCTGTCACCAGCCTGAAATTTCCTAATCATGCTGAACAAGGAGCCCTGCAGTTCCAGTTTTCACTGGACTCTACAAATTATGCAGCTGGTCCTGTATGCAG